GAACTGAAAGGAGGCCAGAGTACCTAGAACAGTGAGGTGGGACGAGTGTGGAAGGAGTGAAGTTAGGAGCAGAGGGACCATGAAGAAATTTGTGGGCATGTGGAGAATTTTATACTTCATCCTAAGAGTAAAGGAAAGACAATAGAGGATTTTATGCAAATAAATGACATGATCTAAGTTTTGTTTTTAAAAGATCAATATGCCTGTTTGTAGAAAATGAATGAGGAGGGGGAGGGTAGGCAAGAAAGGATGAAGGTATCAATTATGATCGTTGCAATTGACAATATAAGAAAGTTTGGACAAAACTGATGGTGGAAGCAATAGAAGGAAGTGGACTAATTTGAGAAATACTTTAATTGTTGCAAAATCAACTAGACTTTAGAAAGGAATAAATGTTAAGGATAAAAAATTAGAAGACTGATATTTCTGATGTGAGGATCTGTATAAATGGTGACAACATTCTTTGGATTGGAAATATTGGAAGAAGGAAGAACTGTCACAAGTTAGATTTTAGGCACATTGAATTTAAACTGCCTTTGAGATACACAAATATATATACATCAGGCTACTGGACACATGTAACTGCAGGTCGGAATGAAGGCCTGGGCCAGAACTGTGACTTAGAGAGTCCATGGTTTATGAAGCCTTGGGAGTAGATTGGAACAAGGGAAGTTTAGGACCTATCCTTGAGGAATTCAAGGAAAGAAACTTCAAATGAAATGATCCTTCTTAAAGGAACAAAACCATAAGAGATCTGTAAAATAATAGAACTCAGCATTCAAAATCTAAGATCATTGCATCTGCTCCCAACACTTAATGGCAAGTAGATGGGGAATTAATGGAAACAGTGAGAGACTTTATTTTGGGGGGCTCCAAAATCACTGTAGATGGTGACTGCAGCCATGAAATTAAAAGAAGTTTGCTCCTTGGAAGAAAAGCTATGACCAACCTAGACAGCATATTAAAAAGCAGAGATATTACTTTGCCAACAAAGGTTTGTCTAGTCAAAGCTATGGTTTTTCCAGTGGTCATGTATGGATATGAGAGTTGGACTATAAAGAAAGCTGAGCACCAAAGAATTGATGTTTTTGAACTGTGGTGTTGGAGAAGATTCTTGAGAGTCTCTTGGACTTTTGGACTCTTCATCTGTTTGGGCTGCCCCTTTTGGTCAAAAAATAAGGCTGCAACCTAGTCTATAAAGAGAACCTAAGAATGGACTCTATAATAGATATTAAGACCTCCACAGCAGGCACAGAGAGATAACAAGCAAAATGGAAGCTCCATCAAGAGGGAAACACATCATTGTGCCAGCTACCTACAGTGTGTGCTACCTACAGTGCCAGCTATGTCTGGGAATGGAGTCCTGCAATGCTCTGCAGATAGACTGGCTGCATAGACGCCACTTACCCCGGACCTGTTGTTTGCTGTTTAGTCACTAAGTTGTGTCCAACTCTTGCAACCCTGTGGACTGCAGCCTGCCAGGCTCCTCTGTTCATGAGATTTCCCAGGCGTTCCCTTCTCTAGGGGATCTTCTCCACCCAGAGATCAAACCTGCAACTCCTGCATTTGCAGGCAGATTCTTTAACACTGAGCCAGCAGGGAAGCCGCAACAGGGGACCTACAAGGGAGCAATCCATCAGTGGAATGAGCCTGTAAGATTTCAGAGAAACCCCAACTACTAGCTTTCTAAGTTAACCAATATACTCTTCATTCATAAATATGAACAGACAACCTAGGATCAGTAAGAATTTCAGGAAAGCCAGGCAAATGGAAGAGAAGAGCCAAGATGAACAAACAGAATAACTCCAGGAAAAAATAGATAATTTAGGGAGCAACAAGAGCTTTTGGAAACTTGAAATCAATAGCCTTAGAAATACTGCATCTGTAAAACAAACAAAAGAGATGGTATGAAAAAAAGAAGAGAATAAACAAATGATCAGAAATTTAAAACGTGATTGTGAAAAATAATTAGCTGGCAGGTTGAACAAGAAAATGGGTATAGCTTAAACGTAAACAATGGTTTTCTACTTTACCCCCAATACTTTCTTCTGGTACCAAAAGCGTGAGTTTTTCCCACACCAGCCAATTCTCCCACACCAGCAGGGAGTCCTACAATTTAATCAATTCTGGCACTGTTTCCTGGAGTTAGCATCAGATCCCACATATTAAGGGCTCAGTCCCACAAGACTGCCTCCACTTCAGATGCAATGGCAAGTTCAGACCTCCTGTACTTCTGACCAGTCAGCTATAAATCAGATTTAATCATTTCCTAGAATCACTCGCAGAACTCAGGAAGACAGTTTGCTTCCTAGATTACTGGTTTGTTATAAAAGGATATAATTCAGGGACTGCCAGATGGCAGAGCTGCGGAGGACAGAGTATGAAGAAAGGGACTCAGAACTTTCACACCCTCTTCTTGTGGACCACTCTCTCAGCATCTCTATATGATAACCACTCCAGGAGGTCTTCAAACCCCTTCAGTTAGGGTGTTTTATGAAGCTTAATATCTAGACATGACTAAATAATTGGCCGTATGTTATTGACTCAGCCCACACCCTCTCTCAGTTGATTGGAAGTAGGGTTGGAAGTTCCAGCTCTCTAATCAATTGGTTGGTCTCCCTAGCAACCAGCCTCCATCCCAAGGGCCATACAAAAGCCACTTCATTATCATAAACTCAGGTGTGGTTACAAGGGTCTTGCTATGAAAAACAACAACAGCAACAATAACAAAAACATCTTTATCATTTCAGAACTATTTCATGAATTGGGTACAAAACCCAAATATTAGTTATGTAATTACATTTGGAGCTTTGTGCCAGAAACGGGATGGAAGACCAAACGTATATGTATTATTATATCACAATGTTACACAGCTGCAAATCAAATTTGTTATTCTGGAAATTAAGGAACTATCCCTGAACATTGAGTAACAAAGAGATGGGAAATAAAGAGAAAATCTTGGCAATAGAGATAAAAAGGGCCAGTACATGACTAATACAAGTTTCAAAGGAAGGGAAACATTTTAAAATGGTAGAATATTTTTATCAGAAGAAGGATACAAATCTCTTGAATGAATGGGCTTTCCACGTGTGGATTAAGATAAATTTTAAAAACTACTCCTATCTAGTTACATCCTGGAGAAATTTCAGATTTTGTTAAGGAGGAAAATTCTAAAACCTTCCAGAAGGAAAAAAAAAAAAATCAAAGAGATGATAATGATTCATCAGAGGAAGCTGGAAGTCAAGAGACAAATATTTTCAACCTTGTAAAGGAAAATGATTTTGAATCTATAATTCAAGCAATCAAAAAAGTTTGAGAATAAAGTAAAGACACTTTCCAACATGAAACAACTCAGAAATTCTATTTCTTGATCTATTGTGTGAAAAATTTATTCAAGGGAGTATTTCAGCACAATGCGAAATGAATTGAAGAAAGGGGATAGCATGGCATTCAAGAAACAGGAGCAGCTGAATAAGACCCAGAAGAGGGAGGAGGAAGCCCTTCAGAAAGGAAAAGAGTGTGGATAATTTTGCTTCCAACATTTTAGTACATGCCTGCTAAATCATTTCAGTTGTGACTCTTTGCGAGCCCATGGATTGTAGGCCACCAGGCTCCTCTGTCCATGGGATTCTCCAGGCAAGAATACTGAAGTGGGTTGCCATGCTATCCTCCAGGGCATCTTCCCAATCTAGGGATTGAACCTATGTCTCTTATGTCTCCTGTACTGGCAGGCAGGTTCTTCACCACTAGTGCCACCTGGGAAGCAAAAATTTTAGTAGTATAGGATTATATTGCCTTTATTATGTAGTCAAATATACCACTTGGTTCTTTGGGCATACTATTTACACAATTGTAATGTAAATTACAGCACAGCAGTGTTGTTGATTATTTAGGTAAATTATGAGAGATTTGTTTTATACAATAGATGACATTATCGTGAATCTCAACATTCATTTCAATGTATAACAAAAACTACTGTAATGATGTAATTAGCCTCCAACTAATAAAAATAAATGGAAAAAAAAAAAGAAATATTTCATGAGCTGAAACAATTAGGAGTGTGGAAGAAGCAATTAGGAGTATAGAAAGAAGTATGTTAATTTCGTTATCTTTCCTAAGTGTCAGTTTAGAACTGATAAACCAAGTCAGAGAGGTTTTAGTGAATAGTTTAGATTTAGAATGACTAACTTTAAATGAAGAAGTAAAAACGGTAACTGTCATTAGTGATTGCTACTGGCAAGTGAAACTGATACTGTGGGATGTTGAGACAAGTTTGTACTCGGTACAAGTTTCTATTTTTTTCTTTTAATTGTATGCTTCTCTCTGGTGCTTCTAAGATTTCTCTCTTTATCTTTGGTGTTATACACTTACACTGCCTTTTATTAATGAAAATGCTCATTTTTCTTCCTCCTGTTGGAAGTACTGTGTGGGCTTTTTGAATCCTGAGAACTACTCTCTTCCTTTAGTTCTCAACAATTCTTTGTCCTTTTTGTCTCTCATTTCACAATTCTTTCATATTAGAATAACTATTCAGACACATTTAACTTTTTACTTCTGTTTTTCTTTGCCATGTTTTTTAACTTCATATTTTCCTTTCTTTCTTTGTGATGTAATTTGAGTGATTTCCACCAATCTATCTTCCAGTTTCATTACTCTCCCTCCAGCTGAGTTTTTAAAATATGATTATATATTTTATTTTTAGAATTCTTTTTTTTCATTTATTTTTATTAGCTGGAGGCTAATTACTTTACAATATTGTAGTGGTTTTTGCCATACATTGACATGACTCAGCCATGGATTTACATGTGTTCCCCATCCTGATCCCCGCTCCCACCTCCCTCTTTTTGTCTTTTTCTCAAACCAGTCTGATCTTCTATTGTGTTCATAATCTGTCGATGTTATTTCTTATTTCAAATCTTTTATTACTTTTTATTATATTAAATTTATAATCCATCTTATTTTTCCTTTTATCATAAAGTCCATTCTAAATTACTTTGCAGCTTGCAGTCACTCAGGTGTGAATTATTGCTTCTTGTGCCTGCTGACTCCCCTGGTGAGTTTCAGTTTCCATCTGTGATGTGCAACTTTTGTGATGTGGAGTGTGAAATCGTCTTGATCAAGGGTTGTCCTCCACAGATGGGCTGCTGCGGTACTGGATTTATGGAGTCATTCTCATGTACCTGTTTCTTATTTGCCAGGGAATTTATGGATCCCATGCATACTGGAGCAATTTTTTATGTTAGTTTCTCTGCTCAGAATTTCCTTACCAAATGTAGTGTATGCTTCAGAGCCACACCTTCCAAGAGTGATAGTATTTTCCCCAATGTATTGACTCAATAAGAATTGAATGACACTAATAGTAAAAATTTCAGAATATTAACATTAAAGGATTCATAGCAATTTTTTTGCACAGTGCCAGTCCACCCCTTTTCTCTTAATTGAGGAAAATGAGGTCAAAAAAGCTAAATGTGCTGAGATCCAGTGAATTAAAGGCAGAGCAAAGCCTAAAAGCTCGATCCTTTTTTTGTTAAAATGCATTTCAACTTTGCATAGGTGGTGACAGGCTGATTCAAAGATAAAGTTGTACTTACTTTTTTTACTGTTCTTAACTTTGGTTTCATGATCCAAGTGCCTGAAAAGTGGCTCCCTGAGCCTGACTCTACCTTGTGTTGCATGTTATCAAGTATTTTGATGGTGTTAATTCTTTCATTAACAAATTAAAGCAAAATTAACACAGTGATTTTCTGTGTTACTGCTGGTGGAGACACTGGTAGATTCTATCTTGGCAGATCTCTCTTCCTCAACAGCTTACCATTGTCACCCATTTAAGTAACACAATTTTCTAACATACCTAAAGTTTTTTGAAGACTGCTACCAAGTCTTATGATTTATTTTTTTTCTTCCTACAGTGACTATCAAAGCCCCTGCCATTGAAAAAACATTATATAAATACCAGCTAATTTGGCAATTTATTAAGAATTTTCCATTTTCTCTTTCATTTTCTTTCTTTCTTTTTGGTATTGGATAATGGAAACTTTGGAGACATACTTTGTGAATTTTCCAGGAATTTACTTACTTCTCATGTTTTTATAGAGAACATACACAAGTAGGTGATTTGGATTTATTTATCTAATTTAAAGAAATTTATAATGATTTATTTTGTGTTCTGTTTGCAGAACAGAGTGTTCTGAACATAACATCAAGTAGAAGAGCCTCAAGCTGAAGGTACAGTATCTTGTTTACACTGAAGGAGCTTGTGTGTGGACAAGAAAGCGCTGACAGCTCAAATGGATCCCATGGAACTGAGCAATGTCAACATCGAGCCTGATGATGAGAGCATCAGTGGAGAAAGTATTCAAGATAGCTACACCGGGATGGGAAATTTAGAAAAGGCAGCAATGAGCAGGTATGGGGTTAAAATGACCAGGCTCCATGGAAAAATGAGAGGTTTATGGACATGGAAAACAAAATTTTTGTTGGGAAGAACTGGATTTATTACCTATTTGAGAGATAGCAATGATGTTGATGTTAACACATCAACTCTCTGATCCTGAAGTACACATTGTTATATCATTATTGTATGTCAGTCCTTTGTATGACTACTTTAAAATTATAGTTACAGTGTTGTTTTTCCTATTAATACTATAGAATAATTTAAATTATAATCAACATACCATTTCTCTTACCTTTTGGGTTATTTTCTCAGTTTTCTCTTCTTCTGACTGCTCTGTTAAGTGTTTCTACATCTCCAGAGTTCTGCTGAGATTCTTCTCTGGCTAAAAGTGTCCTTTGAGCAAGCTTATTCACAACCATCATGACTTCACCCACTGAACATATGTCATATCTTCAGTAGAGAACATACACAAGTAGGTGATTTGGATTTATTTATCTAATTTAAAGAAATTTATAATGATTTATTTTGTGTTCTGTTTGCAGAACAGAGTGTTCTGAACATAACACCAAGTAGAAGAGCCTCAAGCTGAAGGTACAGTATCTTGTTTACACTGAAGGAGCTTGTGTGTGGACAAGAAAGCGCTGACAGCTCAAATGGATCCCATGGAACTGAGCAATGTCAACATCGAGCCTGATGATGAGAGCATCAGTGGAGAAAGTATTCAAGATAGCTACACCGGGATGGGAAATTTAGAAAAGGCAGCAATGAGCAGGTATGGGGTTAAAATGACCAGGCTCCATGGAAAAATGAGAGGTTTATGGACATGGAAAACAAAATTTTTGTTGGGAAGAACTGGATTTATTACCTATTTGAGAGATAGCAATGATGTTGATGTTAACACATCAACTCTCTGATCCTGAAGTACACATTGTTATATCATTATTGTATGTCAGTCCTTTGTATGACTACTTTAAAATTATAGTTACAGTGTTGTTTTTCCTATTAATACTATAGAATAATTTAAATTATAATCAACATACCATTTCTCTTACCTTTTGGGTTATTTTCTCAGTTTTCTCTTCTTCTGACTGCTCTGTTAAGTGTTTCTACATCTCCAGAGTTCTGCTGAGATTCTTCTCTGGCTAAAAGTGTCCTTTGAGCAAGCTTATTCACAACCATCATGACTTCACCCACTGAACATATGTCATATCTTCAGCCTGTTAAATTTCTCAACTGAATTTCAGATCATCATATCCAACTGTTTACTATACATCTCTACTGGATGACTCATGTGTCTGAATTGCCTCCTTGATTAAGTTACACTTATCATGTCTAATATTGAACTCTTGTCATCCTCTTCAAAATTTTCCCCTCTTCTAGCAATTTCATCTTGGTGAAAGTCATCAGCATCATTCAGCAACTCAATCAAAGGGCCTTTGGTGTCAACTTTGACTCATCCCTTCTCCCAAACTGCATGTACCATGTTTGACTATATCCAGTTGCTTCTACCTCATTAATGTTTCAAATCCACCCACTTGTCTATATCCGTTCTATTGCCATCTTGCTTTTGTCCCTCATCATCTGTCACTCATCCACTAGAACAGCCCTGATTAATCCCCATCTTACAATTTACTCTCTTCTATCTAGCCCTTCAGATTTCTTGCAAAAGTAATCTTTTACAATTTCAAATTGACTCATATCCTATCCTAAGGTAAATCCTTTCAGTGCTTCCTCAGTAGCTATGAGAGAAAGATTATACTACACGTTGCTTGGCATATGAGGCCTTTCGTGATCTAGCCCTCCCCTAGCTCTCCTGTCCATCCCTTGCCCCGTTCCCTGTTTGTGTGCTGTTTTCTAGCCTTGTTGAGCCACTCAAAACTCCTGTTCCTTCATTCACTCTGCTCTGTCTGCTTGGAATGCCCTGATTTAAGTATTACCCACTCACCTTAGCCCTTTTTCTCTACTGGCTGCACTCTTTCTTCAAGAATCAGCTCAATATCGGGTCTTCTCCTATGAAGCCATCCCCCAGTTAGAAGTGATCACCTGCGTTGCACCTTCTCCCTACCCAGATGTTCGTGATGCCGCTACAACAGGTTAATGGCACTGCCTGGAACAGAGTAGCTGACAACTGTTATTTGATAAGTTTATTGACTTCTCACAAAATATTGTATAACTCAAATTATTCTTGATTTAAGATATTCCAAAGTGAATTTTTTTTATTAAATCTAGGTTTGAAGTAGAGAATATTATCCCCAAATCAGGATGTCTTATTGCATTCACAACACCCAGGAAGTGTGTCAGGAGGAAGCACTCTTCTTCCTCCAGGAAGCCAGCCCACTAAACATTAGTGTTGTTGGATAAGAGAGGCCATGGAGATGTCAGCATGACTCTTTGTAGGTTGGGTGACTCTTTTTTTCTTTCAGCATAATATATTTTAAAATTTTTAATTAGAGGGTACTTTACAATATCATGGTTGTTTCTGCCATCAATATGAATCAGCCATGGGTATACATATGTCCCCTCCCTCTTGAAACCCTTCCCACCTCCCTCCCCATCCCATGCCTCTGGGTTGTCACACAGCAAATTCCCACTGGCCATCTATTTTATATATGGTAATATATAGGCTTCAGTGATACTCTCTCCATTCATCTCACACTCTCCTTCCCACACTGTGTCCAAAACTCTGTTCTTTATGTCTGTGTCTCCTTTGTTGTCTTACAAGTAGGCTCATCAGTATTATCTTTCTAAATTCCGTATGTGTGTGCATACTAAGTCACTTCAGTTGTGTCTGACTCTTTGTGACCCTATGGACTGTAGCCCACCGGGTCCCTCTGTTCATGGGATTCTCTAGGCGAGAATACTGGGATGGGTTGCTGGGCCCTCCTCCAGGGGATCTTCACGACCCAGGGATCAAACCCAGGTCTCCTGTGTCTCCTGCATTGGTAGGCGGGTTTTTTACCACTTGTATCACATGGGAAGCCCAGATCCCATATATATGTATATGTATGTTCTTATACAATATTTGTCTTTCTCTTTCTGACTTACTCTTGAGGAGGCACAACATGGTAGAACCAAGGGCTTTGGAATCAGCAGAGGAGTCATCTGACTTTGGAGAAGATAGTTATTTTCTTTGAGCTTCAGTGGAAAATGCAAAATGGCAAACCAACACCTACTTTGCTGGGGATTAAATGAGTGCCTTTGAGATAGATGATTCTCAGTGGACTTTTGTTTTTTTCCCCTCCACTTCATCACTCAGGAAATTGATCAAACCCAAGGGTTCTTTTGTTTCTGAGAAGGGTGCATACAGATATGAGCTCTGTGGAAGTGGCAGAGCTGAAGGGGACAGGGTCCTAAGAAGAGTCTTACAGAGTCGTTAGATTTGGTCCTCTGAAAGCCAGCACGAAAAGAGCAAGAATGCTTTTGTCAGCTTCAGACAGTGTGTTCTGGAACGCTTACAATGACTTAGCTTGTAAGTCCTGACTCTAGTGGGTCATTATTTTGCAATTTTATGATCATTTTTAAAAGATGGGTTTGTTTATGTTTGGTTTGATCTCTTAAATGTAAATTTGGGGGTAGTTCAACATAATACATTTATCTGGAATCATTATACTTTTGTTTTCAATATATGCTGGGTTTGATATTAAATCACTGAAGATGCTGGGGACATTTCTCATGTATTTTGTACAATCTTGGTATGTTTTATGACTACAATTCATCTCATGCCAAAATAAGAACATGCAAATGCCTCAAAAGAGAAAAACTTAAAAATTACTCATGGGCTAAAGGATTCTAGCTTATTGATTAAGGTTAAAAATAGAATGTTGGATATTCCAGAGTTTAAATTTAGATGACACCCTTGTTTTTATTATCATTAGGCCCATTTGGGGCTCTGCTTTATCTTATCTTTTCCGTTTCCAGCTAGGAACATTATGTACCAATCTCCACGTAGCAAGTATATTAACTACAGACTATTAAAATAAAGCACAAAAGGGAGGAAGGAGTGCAGAGATGGAGGAAGGTAGCCTCTGAGTGCATTATTCTTCCTTCAAGAGATAGGAGAAAAATGGCAGGAAATATTCCTAACTTGTACACCAGGTGGTTCAAGAAAAGCCACTTCCTAGGTTTTAGAAAAGCGTGTGAAACTTTGTGATTTTGTCTTCGTGATCTGTCTAGTTCTGTCTGCACTTTATATTGTTCTCTGTTCTCAAAAAGTAGCCTTATTGTCTTTTGCATAAGATATTTTCAGACTTAACTTCTAAGAGATAGTTTGCACAGATTTGTAATAATTATTTTACCTTTTTTATTTCTAAGGGTTACTTAAAAAAAAACTCCAATCATTTTATCTTACTCTTTCATGCAAAAAATGCCTTAAAAGTTGCAATTTATCTAATAATGAAGCACTTTTAAAAAGCATGCATATTTGAGTATTTCTTATAATCGAAAGCCTATGTGACATTTTCCAGTATCAAAATGCAGTGGTGGCAGCTGAACTCATTAGTCAAACATTCAGAAACGTGACTGGCACTAGCTTCATATCCTCAAAGTCTCTGGCATACAGCTTCAGTCGCCAACCAGTGGTGTCATGGGATGTGCAGCTTCCAGCCTGTACCAAGTAGACCACTGTCTCAGTGTTTTGTGGATTTGTGCTTGCTCAGTCTTCTTCAGTCGTGTCTGACTCTTTGCAACCCTATGGACTGTAGCCTGCCAGGCTCCTCAGTCCTTGGGATTCTCCAGACAAGAATACTGAAGTTGCCATGCCCTTTTCCAGGGGCTCTTCCTGACCCAGGGATCGAACCCACGTCTCCTGCAATGCAGGCAGATTCTTTACCAGCTGAGCCACCAGGGAAGCCCTGCTCTGTGTGGATAGTGATGTCTTAAAGCCCTGCTCTTTAATCCTGCATCTTACAGCCCTTTCAACTCTTCTACTAATTCACTGCGTTTCTTTAAAAGGTTTTCTTAGTTTCATTCATTAGTTGTCTAACACAACCAAGTACATTTTCAGAGTAATTAAAATATACATTCTTGCACACAACCAAACATAGCCCAGAGCTACCATTGAACTCCTTTCCAGCAAGAGATATGCATATAAAATGTGGAATCAAAAAAGAGGAAAATGCCAGCTAAGGGCTCTGTCTAGGGCTGCATGATGCTGTAGGAGACCCTAGACTTGGGATCTGGTGGGGCTGGACATGCTGTCTTACTCTTGTGAGCCATAGTTGCTTCATATCAGACATGGAAGTTTCCCTTATGAGGACTTTTGAGCACCAAGAGAGATGAGATCAGAGTGCCAAAGCACTTAATAAATACTTATTGAATTAATGAGATCCTGTGGTCATGGTGTATTAATAGTTGAGAAAACACAGTCACTGCTCTTTTCGCTGTCTTTGGGAGAGCTTGAAATGGCAAAACTCAGCTCTAATTATTCTATTTTTTGCATAGTCAATGTGGGAGGGAAAATGTGGCTTTCAAGAGATTGCAACTAAAAAATGTTTTCTTCCTTCAGAGCTTTCTCCTTCCCTCCCAAAGTATACTCATAAATAGGGCTAGGTCCTTTTGTCTGGAAGGAACACTAGTATGAGGAGGAGAAGAGGAGAAAAAAAAAAGCTTTAAGTGTCTTGTTTTTCTTCCCCTGATTCAGTGACTTAGATCACCTGAAACATAAACATAAATCAGAGCATTTACTAGATGTTTTTTACTGTCTTCTTTTCCTTTGTGTGTATGTTCAGTCAGTTTACTAATGAAGATGCTGAAAGTCAGAAATTCCTGACAAATGGATTTTTGGGGAAAAAGAAGTTGGCAGATTATGACGATGAACATGTAAGTGATTCTCTGCTTTCCGGCAGTCAACAGGACTTGAGGATGTCTGATCTACCTGGGTCTCTGCAGGAAAGCAATGTGACTGAAATTTTCCAAGCCTTGATCAGCACATTCTCTGTTTATTCAGGCCCTTACTGGAATAAGGGCTTGTTTTTCCTGTTCGCCATATGGCTGCATAAATCATTTATGAAATTTATTTGTTTTTTGGAGAAATCATTCTAACTCAGATGTGATCTGCAGTCGTACATGCTTTCCCTTCTTTCTATTACTCAACCTGTATTTTTTATTTTTACTGAGACCTCTGCTGAAATCAAGTACCACATTCCACTGAAAATTACATGCTTTTACTGAAGTTGAGTCATGGTTTTATTTGCTGTGATTTTACTTTAATCTTCCATTTTTGGTGGTAGTCTCTTGCAGAAAAGATAATGTAGGATAAGAATAATCCAAAAAAGGTTCATCCTTTGGTGGGTATTTGCTTATCATGCATCCCTTTTTCTTCAAGCATCCTGGGACCACTTCCTTTGGAATGTCTTCGTTCAACCTGAGTAATGCCATCATGGGCAGTGGAATCCTGGGCCTGTCCTATGCCATGGCCAACACAGGGATAATACTTTTCATGTAAGTGCCTGGACATATCTACACGCAGTTCAAAGCCTGTGCATACCTGGTGCTCTTTCAATTAACAAAATTTGATCTTTGTGAATAAGAATCACCTGAGAAAGTATTAGCATATTCTCTCTCTTTTTTAAACAAAACAGCAATGAGAAATAATCAGAGCAGTCTAATCCTGGTACTTGTTCAACCAGCCATCTCTATTCAAATGGCAGAAAGTTTGTGTGTGTGAGCCCCACTCCCCCAAAGTGCTAGAACAGCCCTACCAGTCCAAAGATATTCATTGTAAAATAATTTTGTGTTTAATAGTTCAAAAGATCTTTCCCAGTAGCAAATCTGATTTTATCACACTCTTGGGAAAAGTATCCCCTCTCAAGCTGGACCTGCAGGGTCCTGTGTGCCTCGATCCCATCTCAAGTCCCATCATCTGTTGCTCTATATGCCAGATACAATGGGCACAGTGGCCTGCTCTCCATCCCTTGAAGGTGCCATTCCCTCTTACCACAAGGCCTTTGTACATGATCTTGGAACCTTTTTCCCTTTCCTCTACATCTAGTTAACTCCCCATAACTCAGTTCAGCCTCACCTTGGTTATGCCTTCTCCCAGTCTCCATGACTGGGACAAACCACCTTATGGTCTCATCACAGTGTTAGTATTTTAGTGCAGTTATTGGATTCATTTGTTTAATGGCTCTCTCCCTGGCTAGACTATCATCTCCAAAGCATCAAGCCTTTGGAGATGGCTCAACCCTGTTTTTATTCACCTCCTGTCTGTATCCCCAAGACCTAGTAACAATGTTTGCCATGAGGAATTTTTGCAGAGTGGCCAAAGTTTATTCCTAAACCAATGCACATTTTCCAAGCTTGGTCAAATGCTGCCTGGTGGCAGCAGCATCACAGAGCCGACCTGGAGGATGAAGGCCATGTTGTGACAGACAGCCACAGACATTTGTGCATTATGTACAGCCTGACATTTTCAAAGGCACAGTTGGCAGCAGCGAAATACTTCACAAGAATAAAGTTAGGCAGGCATCAGTGTGAATGTAGACCACAATCCCTAATGCAATGCTGGAGTCTTAAATAACTGTCTAAGAATGTAACATTTATATTATAAATATATGCTATTTGTGTTCCAAACATCACATATGATTAGGTAACCACATAGCTATTTGAGGGCTAAGGACCAGGCTGGACTATAAATATTGATATTGTGTCAGTGCTTTGATTGAACTGTTAGATTATAGTTTTTAGCTGAATGGATTTTTATGTCAACTTTACCTTTCTAAGCCATGTTTGAAATAAAGTAGTTTTAAAAAATTCTCAGATTCTTAATGGCTAGAGGTATAGTCATATATGTAGTTGTATACTTTTGTAATATACTCGTCTTTGAAACAAACAACTGCCTTCTCTATACTAATTACACATACCATTAAAATTAACTAGGAAATTTTCATAGATCACTGATGAATAGAAGTAAGAGATACTTTCTCCAATTCTAGAGCCACAGATCATCTTCATGGGAGGAGAATGTTCCACTTTTTAAACTGAGAGCCTCATTTTAGGCCTGTAAACATTTAGCAGACTAATTTGGCCGAAGCAATTAAATCGTTAGAGATCATGAGATGTGTTTTGTGTATCCAAGTAGCCCAAAATGGATTCGGCAGTTTCCCTTAATTCCCAATAAGTGACACAGGATTTCATTGGTGTTACTTTTAGTATTTTCTGCCAAAGCAAATACATGTTTAGAATATAGAGTATTTTCATTATTTTTCCAGGAAATAAAATTATATAATCTGAATTGCATAATTCTTAAAAACAGGTCAATTCATAAGCTATATGGAACAACAGATGAATATGACATTGATTAGACAGTTCTGGTGAACATATTTTGTGATAAATAAGAGCACAGTAGAGCTAGAATTGTTAGAACATTTGTACCTCATTGTCTAAATCTATGTTTGCAAACTTAACTTCCCCAGGAATTACCAAAGAATTAGATCAGTTGTGGGGAGAATGTTTAGTGTGCTCTCATCATAGGAAACAGGCAAAGGATAGATTTTTTTTTCAGTTTCAGGAAAAGGTTACTATTGGTCCTTAATTTGTTATATAATTGCTTCTATCTACACTCTATTTTTGATGTTCAGTTCTTGTTTTTGGAAAGCACTGATCACTGAATACATAAAGAAACCATATATGCCTGTGGACATTTGGAGGGCCCTGAACCAGAAATGATTCTCTTCTGAGTACAACAAAGGTTTTCCTGCAGCCTAGACTTACCTTTTTCTGTTTTTTCTATTATACAGGCATTTGCCAAACCCTCTGGTTCACACCTCTGATCACTCTCATATAACGCGCAGACAGCAGTAATGGAACTCAGAGTTTGCTTTGACTTCTATGTTTCTAGATTTTAGATGGATGTTTAGTCAGGTCATTGAATAGCCCTTCAATTATAAATATTCATGAGAATATCATGCAAATATGATATACATATACATATGCCCTTTATACGGAGTAAGTAGATATAGTATTTGCTAATTTTGCTGTACCATTAGCATTTAAATTTTAAGCTAGATTCTACTACTGGTAGTAGTAACACTGAAAAAGGTGTGTTAGGGACTTCCAGTAGTATGTTTTGGCCCATAAAATAAAGCCAATTCCAGTTCTGAAGCATTAAAGAGTATTTGTGACATTCTGAAAAAGAATTTTTCAGCATCCCCAAATCCACATACTCTTGGAAAGTTAATGATTGAAAAAACCAAAGTAATAATGTATTGTAACACCATGTATTATTATATCTTATTTTTTACAGAAATCTTATTGTTTCCTTTCTATTCCCTTCACAGAATCATGCTGCTTGCTGTGGCAGTCCTATCTCTTTATTCAGTTCATCTTTTATTAAAGACTGCCAAAGAAGGAGGTATGCTATTCCTTAGACACCAGATACGCCATTTTGATTCTGATTAAAGGCATTTTAGTCTCTAGCTCCATATCTGTAATCAATTTTACATTTAATTTTCTTCTAATCCCAATCACATGGCCTCTTCATGTTTTTAGTTATCTAGGCAAGTGAAAAATCAAGTGAAAGCGAAAGTCAGCCTGCTCAGGTTCAAGCCAAATAGAGAAAAAGACTTTTAGTGGATGATAGAAATAATATTTCTGACTTGCTACATGGAGCCAAGATGAATAAGGCCATCACTCCTTGTTTGGAGAACATTTACCATAGTTTTTAATGGCTTTTGAGATTGCACATTTGGGGTTTATGATTTCTATAGGTGGTCACTTAGGTCATTTAGGTGTGCACACTCCATCATGTCTGACTCTTTGTGACCCCATGAACTATAGCCCCCTAGGCTTCTCTGTCCATGGAATTTTCCAGGCAAAAATACTGGAGCAGGCCACTAGTTCCTTCTCCAGGGGATCTTCCTAACCCAGGGACTGAACCTGAGATCTGTGATTTCTATATGGTGCTTATTTACATGTTTGAGGTGCCAGTGCAGAATTATATTATAGAAATATCTTCATCACCAAAGCAGTTTCTTAACAAGGTTCTTTTCATTTCTGATTATAGGGTCTTTAATTTATGAAAATCTAGGTGAAAAGGCATTTGGATGGCCTGGGAAAATTGGAGCTTTTATTTCCATTACAATGCAGAACATTGGAGGTAAGAGGTTCTAGCTTTCAACAAACGATTTAAACTTTCTAAAGGAGGTTCAAGAAATAAGAAAATTTAATGGCAATGAGCAATAACTTAAATAGAAATTCCTGCTTTATAATTTTTAAATTTAATAAGCAAAGTTTTCTAAACAGATTTGCTCTCTCTAACCCAAAACAGCAATATCCATATTGAAATGAAATACTATATAAACTCTACGAAATAAATTCTATAACAAAAATAAAGAATAAAACCTTTCTTGATTTCAAATATATATAAATATATATGATTGACCATATTTAAAAAAAGGAAAAATTCAGTATCTGAGGCACGTGGTAAATTTTGGGGTCATTGAGACACATCTTGTGCAGTCAACCCATTGGGCAGTGTTCATAGAAGTTGTGCTAAGGTAAAAATCTGGTGAGGCATCAAAAGCATTGTAAAACAGATTCTTATAATACTACTGAATGATCATTTCCAGAGAGAGCTTAGAAGCATATATTTTTAATCATGTTCCAGGTTATACTTGCCCACCTACTTCACTGGTCCTCTCATGTCCTTGACCTTCTAAAGACATTTTAATCCATATTTCTGATGTCCTGTGGCTATGTCCTCTTGCATAATCCAGACTATATCACCACATAGTGGCACTTACTTCCCCATCTCCTACGCAGTCCCAAACCAGTTATTCCATCCTTCTATTCTTTCATCTTAGTGAACAAACAATACCAGTAGCATCCAGTTTCTTAAACCAGAAATGTGGGGATCAGCCTAAACATTTCCCTCTCTCCCTAACCCTGACCATTCAATTAAATACCAGCTCTTAAGAAAAGAAGAGAAGGGAAAGGCAAAGAAGAAAAGGAAAGATATACCCATTTGAATGCAGAGTTCCAAAGAATAGCAAGGAGAGATAAGAAAGTCTTCCTCAGTGATCAGTGCAAAGAAATAGAGGAAAACAATAAAATGGGAAAGACTAGAGTTCTCTTCAAGAAAATTAGAGACATCAAGGGAACATTTCATGCAAAGATGGGCTCAATAAAGGAAAGAAATGGTATGGACCTAACAGAAGCAGAAGATATTAAGAAGAGGTGGCAAGAATACACAGAAGAACTGTACAAAAAAGATCTTCATGACCCAGATAATCATGATGNCTCAGATATGCAGATGACACCACACTTATGGCAGAACGCAAAGAAGAACTAAAGAGCCTCTTGATGAAAGTGAAAGAGGAGAATGAAAAAGTTGGCTTAAAACTCAACATTCAGAAAACTAAAATCATGGCATCCAGTCCCATCACTTCATGACAAATAGATGGGAAAACAATGGAAACAGTGAAAAACTTTTTTGGCGTGCTCCAAAATCATTGCAGATGGTGACTGCAGCCTTGAAATTAAAAGACACTTGCATCTTGGAAGAAAAGCTATGACCAACCTAGATAGCATATTAAAAAGCAGAGACATTACTTTGCCAACAAAGTTCCATCTAGTCAAAGCTATGTTATGTATGGATGTGAGTGTTGGACTATAAAGAGCACCGAAGAATTGATGCTTTTGAAGCGTGGTGTTGGAGAAAACTCTTGAGAGTCCCTTCTACTGCAAGGGAATTAAGCCAGTCAGTCCTGAAGGAAATCAGTCCTGAATATTCATTGGAAGGACTGACGCTGAAGCTGAAACTTCAATACTTTGGCCCCCTGATGTAAAGAGCTGACTCATCTGAAAAGACCCTTATGTTGGGAAAGATTGAAGGCAGGAGGAGAAGGTGATGACAGAGGATGAGATGGTTGGATGGCATCACCAACTTGATGGACATGAGTGTGAGTAAGTTCTGGGAGTTGGTGACAAACAGGGAAGCCTGGCATGCTGCTCTCCATGGGGTCGCAAAGAGTCGGACACGACTGAGCGACTGAACTGAACTGAACTGAACCGTTCTTTCTCTTGTTTATCTTTTGAATCTTTCTCCTTCTAGTCTCATCACCACACTTCAGACTGTTGCAGTAGCCATGTAACTGATCTTTCTGTCTTGAGCTTCCCCTCTTCCACTTGTAATTCATCCTCCAAATTAACTTTCTCAAATCCAGATCTACCCCAGCTTCTCACATGCATAAAATTCTTCAGCATGCCCTCATTATTTTCAAGATAAGATTTAAACTCTTTAGTCTGACATATAAAGGTCTTAACCATCTTTCCTTTGACTACCTTTCCTGAAAAACCCCCTATCGATCTGTCTCTGTCCCTTCCCTACCCATCTATCATCTGTTCCTTATGTGTTCTGTGTCGTAACTAACTACATTCAGCTCCCCTAATTTTTCCATCCTCCAGCCCTACCACACACGCTTTCTCTGGTTCTCCCCTTTGGTTGTTCCCATGCTCCATCGTTCTCTAAGCTATTAGGTACTAGCACCTCGGGGTTCCTTTAACCTTGTTTGTATAGAACTGGTATATTGTTGCTGTTCAGTCACTCAGTTGTGTCCAGCTCTTCTTGATCCCATAGACTGCAGCATGCCAGGCTTCCCTGTCCTTCATTATCTCCCAGAGTTTGCTAAAACTCATGTCCATTGAGTCGATGATGCTATCTAACCATCTCAAGAGGTTTTTAAATCTTTGAGTAGAGAATAAACTTTTGGAGCCTGATGCACCTGAATTTGAGTTTGTTTCTGTCACTATCTATGACCTTGGGAAAGTCACTTTACACATCTGCATCCATTTTTTCCATCTATGTAAATGAGAGTAGTAGTTCATTCTCACATGGTCATAATAATACGGGTTCAGTGCATAATTCCTCCCCAGTTTTCTGGTTGTTCTTAAATGGGATTTTTATAATTCTAAGACAAATGCATGCTAATTGTGAAAAACTAAAACATTACATGAATATACAGATTACAAAGAAATGTTTATATAAATCATCCTTAGAAAAAAACACTTCAGGTTTTCCTGTCAAATTTAACAAATATAGTGTTACTGTTAAAAGAGGATCATCTTATAATACTGATTTACAGCTTGCTTTTCATTTAATGATATGCCTTGAATGTTTTTGCATATTACTTTTTATAGTGGTTTTTGATTTTTCCATTGTACAAATGCACAGTAATTGATTTCCTGAATCACTTCATGAACAGTTTTGGAATCTTTCCAGTTTTTTACTATTGCAAAAAATGCTGCAATAGATGAACTTGTATAGAGTTCTTGCAAGGAGGCCATTCTTTCTGATTAATAAAATCACTAGAATTATTGGGGATTTCTAAAATGCAGCAATTTCTTTGAAAACCTTTATCTAACTATAACTGCTCCTACTAATGGATAGTTAGTAAGAAGATAAATAAAATCCAGTCATATCATAATGATTTGTATTTATGTCTGTCATATTTTTATATAGTAAGAGTACAATACCAGGTAGAATTTGGCAGTAATTGTTTCATTTTTTTTACTGGCATTGAGCCCCAAGCATATAAGTCCCCTGGCCTCCACCAAATAAATTGCTTTACATTGGGCTCAAATTTTCAGCCTTATTAACATTTAATAAGTCAATCCTAAAGGAAGTCAACCCTGAATATTCACTGGAAGGACTGATGCTAAAGCTGAAGCTCCAATACTTTGGCCACCTGATGTGACTCTTTGGTAAACATCCTGATGCTAGGAAAGATTGAAGGCAAGAGAAAAAGGGGGCAACAGAGGATGAGACGATTGGATGGCATTACTGACCCAATGGACATGAGTGTGAGCAAAATCCGGTAGATAGTGAAGGACAGAGAAACTTGGTGTGCTGCAGTCCATTGGGTCGCAAAGAGTTGGACATGGCTTAGCAACTGAACAGGTACAACAAAGATTTAAATATCAAGCATTTCATAGTAGGAGATTTAAATTTAAGGATTTCATAGGAGTCCTTTGCAGGTGATCTAATATACTTATTTGGCCCATAGAACTAACTGGACATACACATACTTAGCCCTGATCCCAATAGGCTGAGTGGCAATAGCATTGTCCATTGTTCCAAGTGTAGCTGCTATTATGCTTTTAAACAATGGAATAAACTATAACATGGTCTCTCAATCAAGCCCCACCACACACACACATACACACACAGTGTGGCTTTAAAGAAGTAAGGTGAAATTTCATACACCATTCCTGAAAATCTCTCACTTTGGTTACTCTATGTGATTAGTGGTTATTGTGGCCTAAAAGAAATCACTTGTATTTCTGTATTTAGCAATTCCACATTTAGAACGTTTAATTCTCTCAATCCCCTGAAAAGTTAACACTGACCATGGATGTTTCAACATTAGCAGAATAATGTTGACTTTATCCAGACAGGTCTGGATCATTCTGAATTTTTGAAGACCAAACACATTAACAGTGGTGACATCACTGAAAATCAGCAATTAACAGCTCTAAAATTGAATGGTACCTCACTGAACTAGTTAATCAGAAATATCTCCTGTTTACCCTCTGTAAGATTTAGCTTTAGCCAAGGTCTTTGTAAAGATTAACCAAGTCATGTTTACAGAATACACATCAGGTATTGTAAAAATAATTTCATTTCACAATAGAGAAGAAAAACTGGCCTGAAATTAGGGAGCTTATATTTTGGATGTGGTATGTCATTTTTCAAGCTGTGTGATATTGGACATGTCATTTAAGCTCACATAATCATTATATCCTCAGCTGTGGAATGAAGATGGTAAGATGCATCTTGCTCTTTCAGCTGACCACGTGCAAAGCTAAACCATGTGGGGAACTGTTATCACTATTATTAATTTTATTTGAGGTTAAGGAAATATTTTAAACTATTAATAGTTCAATTTGCAACTTGGATCGCTGCTTGAAATGTCTGTTAGCAAAAATTCACTAGACGGATGTAGTACACACTTAAACCTTGCAATGTGAAAATTGTCAGTGTTATTTTCAGTTGAGCCTTTTGACCGTGTGTGAAATAGCAAATTAGTTTTATTCTTCACTGAGTGGATGGACTTTGGATAGGGATGTTGCATAAATCCCCCAAATGGTATGTTATTGTGCATGTCTATATAGACGTTTTTCCAGAGAAAGGGTTTGCACATTTTTATAGGTCAAATTTTCAAAAGAGTACATGATCACACGTGCATCACTTATAGAGATGCTCAAGAAATTTTGCCACTTTGTTATGATTTCTTATTTGGATAAAGGATATAGAAAAACACTTCGTTGATAAAGGTTAGAGAAGCTATCCTCTCTTGTACTTTTCTTCTTTATCAATCCAGTATGACTCCAATTTGGAGAATCAGCAGTCTGAGATTTTGTGTGCCCCTCATGGAGATCACAAAGGACTAAGCTGGTGTCCACCTACTGAGGGCGGAGTGACGTGTACTCTACCCAGCTCCACCTTGCAATTCTACCCCCTCTCTTGTGGTTCACACCTTTGGTTGTCGAACGTCTGCCTGAGTTTTAGATACAAACAGGCACACAAGTAAGGCCATGATGACTACTAACAGGAATGCTTCAAAGCTGAGGCTTCACTGAAAACCTCAGAGCTGGATTTAACACAGAATCAGCATTGATACCATCAGCAAACGTCCGTTGGGAAGAGCCAAAGGGCCCAATATCCATTTATGAGAAGAACTTGGAAGGCATACAGAATATACAGTGGGTGGCTTTTCTTTCGGTTTGGGAATTACTGAGAAGTTGGGATGTCCCCAGTGCCTGGACTTCTCACAACTTGCCTGTGACGCTGGTGCCATGAACACGACTAAGCTGTCACATTTTCCATTTTAGCCATGTCAAGCTACCTCTTTATCATTAAATATGAACTACCTGAAGTAATCAGAGCATTCATGGGACTTGAAGAAAATACTGGGTATGTCTTCTGTTTTCTCTGTAACATCAATAGACTCACTTTACTTGGTCTTTTCTGATCCTAATATTCTGGTCTTTCTTTTCCAGAGAATGGTATCTCAACGGCAACTACCTCATCATATTTGTGTCTGTTGGAATAATTCTTCCACTTTCTCTCCTTAAAAATTTAGGTAAAGTCATTTTCCATTTTGATTTTCATTTCATATTCTAAGAGGTAAGCTGATTGTGGATGCCATATTCACCTTCTGGAATTTCCTAACTCTTAGGTTACCTTGGTTATACCAGCGGATTTTCTCTTACTTGCATGGTGTTTTTTGTCAGTGTGGTAAGTGATTTTTGACATGATCCTTGTAACTTGGTAGGCATGTGATGCTTTCAGTGCCTGAAATGGTGTTCTAATTTTTGTTCAAGCACATCATTAGCGTGAAATAGTTCTTGCATCACAAGTAATTTTCTTGTATTCTCACTTGGAATGAGAGAAGAATAGTCATGAGTTCCAATATAGTTGAGTTAGAATGTCAAGGCCATTGCTAACAGTTTGTTCTAGGCATACTAGATGTTATAGTTGGACAAAAGGAACACTTCAGCAGGAATGTGACAATAACTCAGGTTTTAAAAAGGTGGAGGAAGAAGAAGTGAAGAGACCCAGAAAATAAACGAATAGACTCTAGAATTATCCGTATTTGCATGAATCAGCCATTTTCTCTTACTCATTCTACCCATGAAGAGAAGGTGACCACAGGGGAATTAAAGAAATCCTTTCCCACCCTATTCCTCTCCCCTCTAAAAGGAGGAATTTCGGCGAATATCATGAATGCCAACATTTATATAGCATTTCTCCAAAGAGGCAAAGGAGGAAGGAAGAGTTTCTGATGACTATTTTCATTAGTTTGAAGAAATGAAAGATGAAATGCAGCAAGAAAATGATCATCTTTCTCATAGAGTATGCATGAAGCTTAGGGTGGATTCACACAGAATACTGTCTTGTTGCCAACCATAGCTCCAACTCCAACCATAGCTCCAGCTCCTTCCTTTGAACAGAGGCTATAGGGAGTCTCCATCATCCACTAGTCTAAGAGGAATCTTCAGCAGAGTTCCCTCATGTTTACCCCATAAACCAACCATATGGATTTTTGTTTCATTGTTTCCCTCAAAGGGCTGACTCTTTGTTGTTGTTGTTGTTGTTGTTAATGATCTGGTCTAGGTGATTTACAAGAAATTCCAAATACCCTGTCCTCTGCCTATTCTGGATCACAGTGTTGGGAATCTGACATTCAACAATACAGTTCCAATGCACATGGTGATGTTACTCAACAACTCCGAGAGTAGTGGTGTGAACTTCATGATGGATTACCCCCACCAGAATGCTGCAGGACTTGACGAGAACCAGGCCAAGGGCTCTCTCCATGGCAGTGGAGTAGAGTTTGAAGCACACAGTGATGACAAGTGTCAGCCCAAATACTTTGTCTTCAACTCCAGGGTATGTGAGAGCCCCCCTCTAAGAGCCTAGCGATGGAGTCTCTGAATTTTTATTTCAGAAGCTGAGATGGCCTGAGGTAGCCCTCTCTGCTGGAATGCTAAATATGAGGTGTTATCTTTGTTTTTCAGACGGCCTATGCAATTCCCATCCTAGCATTTGCTTTTGTATGCCACCCTGAGGTCCTTCCTATCTACAGTGAACTTAAAGAGTAAGGCAGCCATCATTTTAACATTTAAACCTGCTTTGAAAATGTGCTCATATGTTCAAAGGTGCTTTATATAGAAGCATAGTTTATAGCTTTGTCTTTACAGAAAGTTTATGCTGTAACCCACTCATCAGTAACGTGCTTTAACCACAAAGGTGTGAAGCAGCCCCTTCACTACTTTCTTTTCTCCTACTCCTTCATCCTAATGATCCAGGTGAGGGGTCCAGGGGAGGAGGAGCCCATGTCTGCAAGGATTTTGGCAGGCATGGGGAATTTGAATTTGAAATTGGTGGGAAGAAGATGTCACCTGAGCTCGAAATGACCCACACCCATGCAGACCAAAAATTATGGTTAGGATGGCCTGGCTAAGCAGCTTCTTATTTTACCCTGAGAGGAGGGTGTCATATAATAATTCTCATCTTTTTTACCCAGACTTCAATACTCAGTTCTCACTAAACAAAAATAACTTGCCCCATATATTCAGATTTACTTCTTGAAAAAACTTTTAGAGCACTTCCATTTGATTTACTTGAAAAGTCCTATGTAGCAGTTCATCTACACTTAATCTTAGCTGAAAGATGGGGAAGTGATAGCAATTACCCTAGAGGCCTGATGATGGTTTAAGCAGCCAGGTGCCTCCAGAATGGTTTCCAGAAGCTGTCCAGGTAAAAATACCAAGCTTTCAGGTAGTCTGAACGCCTAGAAGGAGTGTTTTGTTGATTCTAGTGAATTCTTGTCTTCAAATCTATCTCACTGTGAAGTATGAAGGCTTTCTGCATTAGAAGCCAGTTTAACCTTTGTGTCAATTACACTTTCATACATGCAATAGACAAGCATACTTATCAACATAAAATAAACTGATCCTTTTCTAGGAAAATAGTTATTTCTAAGACTGAAGAAGTAGCATTTAAGAAAAATGGAAGCAAATGCTCCATAATTCTCGAAGGCATATTTTAAATAAGTGATGTTTCTGCACTCAAAATGTGGTTTTATAATGAGCAACACAGACATATATTATTCTCTTAGCTTTTAAATTGCAAAAGGTAGTATTTTCATCAGTTCAGAAAATCAAAGCTCAATGTCCTTTATCTTTTTTAGTCGGTCCCGGAAGAAGATGCAAACAGTGTCGAATGTCTCCATCACGGGGATGCTCATCATGTATCTGCTTGCTGCCCTCTTTGGTTACCTAACCTTTTATGGTAGGTCACTCTGTCAAAGTCATTCTCTTTGTGCAAATCCTAGTTGGACAGATCATTAACCTGGTAGGTATAATTCTTTTAATTACTCTCAATAAACAGCATGATCTATAGATACACATAGTCAATTAGCATGCTATTTTAGCCTCCTCATTTGACCTAAGAAAATGACTTAAGAAAAATCGAATTAGGCTGCCTAACAGTTTACAGTAATTTGTGAATTCCCTCATATTTTATTTAAAAAACCTCTCAATAGTAATTCCTTTTCTTAAGGGATAAAGGATATTTCAGCTCTATGTTGTAAAGCTCTTTTGGTAGAATAACTAATTAACAAACAAATGGCAGAAAAAGTACAAAGTCCTTGAGTTGGAACCTGCTTCTTGTGTACCAGTCAAGTCAAATCTGGAGGCCTGGAGCATTAGACAAATTTTATGGCTAATTTCATTCTATTCTATTATAGTGACTGGTTTCTAAGTGAAGAGGACATGACAGAATTCCTTTCAATCTGGGGACATACTATCAAAAAACAAAGTGACTCTGGTCACATTAGATTATGCTGAAAATATTTCCTCTATGGACACAAAAGGAGCAGGATTGTTCTTCTCTTCCCTGAAGCATGGCCCTAGAGATGAATTTCAGGGAATCAAACATTGATACTAATCAATATTATCAACTTACATATATTTTAAAAATAAAACTTTCTAACGGTTTGCATTTTTTTCCTGACTGACTCAGTAAATTAAATTGATTGCAAGACAAGTTGGGGAGGAAGAGGCTGGAGAGGGCACCATTTGCTTGGGTTTTTTTCTTTTTGACTAATATTTGGTTTTCAAGCTCTGGTTTAGATTGGGCATTAACTCTGCTGGTTGTAAATTAATGAAAGTCAGGACAATGTCATTGATGGTATTTTTATCCTCCTTTGATTTCGAGGGATGGAGTGGGAAAATCAGAGTACATCTGATTCTATGAGTATGTCCTTATCATGTGTGCCTGGAATTCTGAACAAAATGTGTTTTCCAGGAGGGCAGCATCTTAAACTTAGAGCGGTATTCGTTGAAAGATTCTATAGCAATCATACTACTTCATCTTTGCATTGTTACATAGTTCAGTTCAGTTGCTCAGTGGTGTCCGACTCTTTGTCACCCTGTAGACTGCAGCACACCAGGCTTCCCTATCACCAACTACCAGAGCTTGCTCAAACTCATGTCCATCAAGGCAGTGATGCCATCCAGCCGTCTCATCCTCTGTCGTCCCCTTCTCCTCCTGCCTTCAATTATTCCCAGCATCAGGGTCTTTTCCAATGAGTCAGTTCTTCACATCAGGTGGCCAAAGTATTGGAGTTTCAACTTCAGCATCAGTACTTCCAATGANTTCACATCAGGTGGCCAAAGTATTGGAGTTTCAACTTCAGCATCAGTCCTTCCAATGACTATTCAGGACTGAATTCCTTTAGGATGGACTAGTTTGATTTCCTTGCAATTACTTAGTCTAATGAGTCTCAACTCAGTGAGACAAACAAAAACTTGACAAAGTCCAAGAATATGTCTGTCAAAGTCATGATGGGGTCATAATTGTTGAGCTTGAAAAAGTGTTAGAGATCATTTGTCCTAGGGTTTCCGTACTGGGTTTGGAGAAGCTGCATCAGGGCTTTCTATGTAGGTGGGAGTGGAAGGAGATGGCAAGATGTGAGGGACAGTCTGATAAGGCTTAATCCTTTCATCCCTTTCAACCAGAAGACCTCAGCCTGTCCTGTTCTGTGATGCTTCTGTAAAGCAGAGAGATTTATCACAATGTCAGTGACCCAGAGAAGAGCCTTAACAATTTTATATTAAATCCTGCAACTTTACAAGCTTCAGGACCCTTTGTTCATTTGAAAAAAGATCACACGAGGTGGCTCAGCAGTAAAGAATCCACCTGCAGTGCTGGAGACGCAGCAGAGGCAGGTTCGACCCCTGGGTTGGGAAGATCCCCTGAAGAAGGGCAAGGCAACCCACTCCAGTATTCTTGCCTGGAGAATCCCAAGGACAGAGGAGCCTGGTGGGCTACAGTCCATAGGATCACAGAGTTGGACACAACTGCAGTGACTTAGCACACATATGCAACTAATATGTTGAGACAGGATAAAAGCAGAGGTGTCTGGATTCTCAGATCTGAGTTCTTCTACTATACTCTGTTCTTCCTATAAAACGTTGTCATAGGTGAGCAGTGCCTATGTGACTCCATCAGTGGACTCATTCTCCTCTTCCGCTTTGCAGGAGAAGTTGAAGATGAACTGCTTCATGCTTACAGCAAAGTGTACACGTTTGACACCCCTCTTCTCATGGTGCGCCTGGCTGTCCTTGTGGCGGTGACACTGACCGTGCCCATAGTGCTATTCCCTGTAAGTACCTGGCTTTGCTCAAAGAATCCTGCGTGACCACACAGATTAGTACATATGCTCTGACTTGATGCTGATTTAATTAAAATGCAATTCCTGAGAATGTTATATTTTATATAGCATTTTGAACCTACTGACTATGTAATATGTAGATACAGCAAGTATTTTTATTTTTTATTATTTTTTACTTATTAAAAGTTAAAAAAAAGTTTGGCCAAGCCACCCAGCTTGCCAGATTTTAGTTCACTGACCAGGAATCAAGCCCATATCTCTGGCAGTGAAAGCACAGAGACCTCATCATTAGACTGCCAGGGAATTCCATAGAGCAAGTATTTTTAAATGCTAAGTACTTTTCAAATGTAGGGGGAAAAAATCACCAAATTTATTTCTATGTATTTATTTGTTTTGTGGTTTTATTGAGGTTGAAATTTATTTTTAAACTAAAATTTTAAGAAAGAGATCTTGAGCTTCTCTCTTATAGATTAGTAGAAATGAGTAGTAATTCATAAACACACTCACTTTCAGATTATATTTTATTTTCACCACAGTTCTGAAGGTATTTCATTTTTTTCCTCCTAGTGCTATTATGCTACCTTAACATTCAAAAGTCACCCTATTTAATCTGATTCTTGAAGGTGAATGAGAAGGAGATTTATGTTAAGTAAATGACACACTGCAACCAAATTTCCTTTAAAAAAAATAGTCGTATCATCCATCATATATCCCTTCTGCTGCTTCTAAGACTGACACATACCCTCTTGCCAGACTGGTACTGGGACAGTCCCTTCATGGCATTTCCCGTTGGGGTGAGTTGTTATGGGATCATAGAGCAGGGCAGGTTGTGGAGACTTGAGTTACAAGTTAAAACCACTACCTATGGAGAAACATAAGTCTGCACTTTCCTGCCAACTCTCCTTCCTTTCATAAACACTGAATTTACCATTCATTTTAGGGGGAAAATTAGCAGCACAGTAGTCAGCACTGTCCCGTACAGAATGTTCCATACAGGGCCAAACAGATGAGGACTAGTCATATAATGACACTGTGGTCACTTTAAATGCAGTTTGTGTGCTGAAATATTTGTTGGCACATTCCTTTTTCATGAGTGCATGAAATCAGATCTTTATTACAACGGTAGCTAAGAGTTTACTTTTAAATAATGTCTTATCCCTCATTTATCTGAAAGAATTTCAAATGTCATGCACACAGCTTTAGCCTAAAATCAGCTCCATTGTAGGTATAACGCAGAAGACAGCTGTAGACAGAAACTGTACCATAGGGTAAAATTTCCAAGCAAACAGCATCGCCAAGAAAAGAATATCTGGAACCCTTCTTTTTGTGTGTAAAGATATTACTGATCAAATTTTGGCACACAGTGGGCACTCATATCATTGTTGAGTCAAAGCATTTCATAAAAGAAATCTGTTATGTGCTTCTGCATTGTTTTTTACTTTTTATTCATAAGCCCTAAATGTGGTGCTTTCAAGCCAAGGTCTCGGGAGGTTAATGGACTTTGTTGGGTTACCCAGCTAGCTGGTAACAGTTGAGCTAATGCATTGCTCACAGGTGACGTTGATGGCTACAGTCATAATCATGGGAAGTAGAAGTTAGCCTTTCATTTGGTGATGATCATTTCACCTTGACATTCACAATCCAGATAGAACATAGAAATTCTTTGCCTGTATAACAGATAAGGCATTGGCATAAATCTGACCGTCAAGAATGGCAACACATTTCCCATTAGATATATCTCCCATTGTGGTCTGAAAGCATTTCCCATCCAATGCCCATTAAAACCAAAACTGACCACTAGAACCAAATTTCAGAAAGCATAACTAACTGCTATCCTTCAATATATATTTTCATTCACCATTAACAGTTGTGAAACATTTTGTTTGTAAATCTGCCTCACCCTTACAGTGTTACATTGAGATGGTCTATATAATTGTCCACATTTTCCCCTAGAGGTTAGGGGTGTGCACAGTGATCGGCATAGGATGAGTTCAACCATGTTTGCTAAGGAAGACGATCTCCAGATGAAGCTTGCCTTTTCTTAAGTTGTATGAACTGCTTTTTCTAGCAAAAAAGACATAGACTCTTCCCCTTGCCAACATCTGCCATGAACTTCAGTTTGAATGAGGATCTTGGCTACCTGAACCAAGCCGCCATGTTTTGATGGATGACATAAAAGTGGGTTTGGCCTCCTTGTCCCAGTCAAATACCTGCAGGCTGCATTTTAGTCACTTCTCTCTCAAAATGATAGAAATTGGTTATGCTGCATTTCTTTGTTTCTTCCAATTTCAAACCAAAATTTTCCATGTGTTGCATGCTGAGTCAAATAGCATGCTTCTCCTGATGAGTTTCTTTGAATTAAGAAACTCTTGACCAATAAGCTTATTTACTTTGTTTTGATATCCCTACACATGAATAATAAAACAAGCAAAACCTAAAATGGATTAGGTTTAATCTGGATTAAAATCTATCAGTTTTAGGTATTTTTGGTACTCTCCATTTTTCAACAAACATGTTGGTCATTTTTCTTAGGAGCCCAAGGAGAGATAAAAAGGGTTTTGTTGTCAGTGGTGGTTGGGTTTTCCTTTTATCTCTCCATTTATTATCTTTCTTTTTTCCAGACAGCATTTCCTTCTTAGAAAAGGCACAAAGTGTTTATTGAACAAATAAAGACAATAAGGCTAGTTTTTCTACAAGCTGCTCAACATTTTTTCTTTCTTAGCTGGAGAAGGTGATATGGGGCTGGGGTGTCTATTATGGAAACGACATCTTCAGCTTGTGCTTTTCTTTATGCAGAAAATGCACAGATTTTCATGAAAAACATAAAAAACACAAAGACTCAAGTTCTACTCACTGCACCTTTTTCTCTTTAAGAAAAAAGAGAGATTATGTCTCGGATCCTCTGCTGCTGCTGCTAAGTCGCTCCAGTCGTGTCCGACTCTGTGTGACCCTATAGACGGCAGCCCACCAGGCTCCCCCGTCCCTGGGATTCTCCAGGCATGAACACTGGCTAGCTACTTCTATTTCATTTTATTTTAGTAAAACCATTCTTTTCACTTATGTTGCCTTCAGATTTCCTGTTTTGAAGTGAATATGGGTGTAGGCATAGAAATATGGCAGATGTTTCTATGTCTGGAATAGCACATTGACCATTGGTATTTCCTACACTCTCTGTCAATCCTGCAAATGAAGTGTGGTTCACTTGTAAGCAATAGAATGGATTTTCTTTTTTTTTTTTTAGAGTTGAGAATGAAGGCTCCCACTTTCCAGCTGGCCTCCACATTTCTGACTTTCCCATTGGGTCCCCGTATTAGAACACAGTACCTCCTAATAGGCTCCTGTTTGGAACATTAAATCTGGAAATAACATGTTTTCTCTAGAGCTGCATGGAAATGGTCTGGAATCACTCTGGGGGACTTTCATCCCCACAGTATCAGATCCACATTTCCAGGTTCTTATCAGTTGTGTCAGTAGAGAAAAGGACACTGAAGTAAGTCAGTAATAAGCCAGAGTCACCTCTGTCCTGACATAGGTAAATAGAGCTGCTGGGGACCTCAAGATCCCAGGCTCACCCCACAAGGCAGTGTTTTTATGTGGAATGACTAGCAAGTTTCATTCTATTTTTTTCCACCATCTACCACCACCAGCAATCTCCCATCTTTCTCTTTGCCCTGCTGCCCATTTTAGGAATACATGGGCAACTCTCTACACCTTCAGTTCTTTTTGGGATTTTGTTATTCCTTGTTCATTCTGATGCACAAGCTTTCACCATTTACTTCAACCATTATTCCTATAAAATTTCTGTACTCTTACATCATTAAGCCAAATTGTAATGTTTCTGAGAGCCATGAGATCTTAGGAAACTGTATTTATTTACATTCAGACACCCAGTACATACAGGCTTACCTCTAACTCAGCTTAAACAATTAAAGGCATTATTACAACTAAGGACTAAAAAGCACAAACATGTGACCCCTTGCCTGAAAATAACCTGTATTCTACTTGTTTATGCTATAACTTTATCACTTTCAGACAAATAAATCCTTAAAACCACAGAAAGCTTATTTTAAGCATGTTATGTGTGGACAGCATCGAATAAGCACTAATTGTCAGACATAATGTAGAATTAATAAACTGTTGGGAAAAACAAAGTCAAACCTTTTGTTTTCCTCAGTTTACTTTTCAGAGTTGTATAATTTTCACTCATCCAATTTTTAAAATCCATTACAAACTCACTCTTAAACTGTTTCCAGAGACTATACAGATTTGCCATTCTGGAAATGAAACTGCCTTTTAAACCTAAACAGATGGCTTTAATTTTTGGTGGACTGGCATGAAAAGAATGTTACATTTGACACTGAGGCAGTTCAACTGAAAGTTTTTGTTATTTGTATGTGTGTTTCAAAATATATTTTACTTTTCTCTGTTTTCAGTGAATTCCAATCTTCACACTATTAAGAGACTTCAGAAACCAAAGTTTAAAGTGAAAATCAATTTCACATTTCTAAAAATAAGAAGTCCTAGCTTAACTGACTGTGCTCATTTATTGAAAAGCCAATAAACTAATCCCACTAAGTCCAAAAGTGTCTTCTAAAAGATTCCAAAGATAAGAATATTTTCAACTTTGTTAAGCTGTACAAACAAAAAAGGCCCTCCTTCCCTCTGCTCAGGAGGATCTTTTCATCCAGTTACATCAGGGTAACTTGAGCCGCTGCTACATTTGGAGCCTCCCTGACCCTTCACCTACTTATTTCAGCTGCGGCAATAGGACTGAAATCTCATAAGAATCCTGAAGGGAGGGGAAAGAGTTGTTCTGTTCAATTCATCATTATTGGTGCCTTCTGCATGTGAGACACTAAGATAGAAACTCAGGAATGTTAAGATTGTTAGGTCTTGTTCTTTGCCTGCTGTGCATTTATAAGCTATACTGGGGCAGGGGAGAGGTGATGGGGTGAAAAGAAAGAAGTAAACACGAAAAGTATCATGTTTCTTAAAATACCAGGTGGTAAAAATGTTAAATAAAGTGTGAATTTAAGAGATGCCAGGTTGGTAAAAGTTCTGCTCACAATCATATGCAAATAAATTCAGTGCTTGCCCTTAATCCGGGCTGATGAGACATAATTAGAAATCAACAGGGGTTTTTTTGTGTCTCTGAATTATATATCTTATCTGTTCTTTTATCTCTTTCTGACTGATTGTTTTCAAAAAAAAAATTCTGAAAACTGAGAAAGTAAGCACAAGATAGATCGCCAAGGAAAAGTGACTCCCTCCCAAACATCAAAAATCAACTTATACAACAATATTAGTGCACCCAATACCACTGAACTGGAGATTTTAAAATGGTTAAGATGATATATTTTATGTTATTTGTACTTTACCACAATTTTTTATGTTTTTGGAAAAATATCAGCATCAAGATCTTTTCTGGGGGAAAAGAAAAACAAAGAAAATGCTTTTAGAGGGATGAGAATATTTGAAAAGTAGATGAAAACAAAGCAGTGACCCAAAGGGGATAGTGGGAGTGGGAGGGGAAATACATTAGGTGTTTGGGATTAACATATACACACTGCTGTATGTAAAATAGATAACTAACAAGGACCTACTGTGTGGCAGAGGAAGCTACAGTCAATATCTTGTAATAAATCTATAATGGAAAAGAATCTGAAAGAGAATATATATAGTCATACATAAATATGTATAATTATAAGTATAATTGAAGATGTATATGTATAAATATATGTAATATACATGTACATGTAAAAATACGTAAAATATATATGTATAATTGAATCAATTTGCTGGGTACTTGAAACTAACATAACATTGTAAATGAACTTTCAATAAAAAAACAACACAAAGCACTGACCTTGCCTTTGAACTCTCTCTGCTGTTGCAGATTCGCACATCAGTGACCACACTGTTATTTCCCAAAAGACCATTCAGCTGGATAAGGCATTTCCTGATTGCAGCCATAATTATTGCTCTTAATAATGTTTTGGTCATCCTTGTGCCAACTATAAAATACATCTTTGGATTCATAGGTAAGTTTCCAAAAGGCTTTTATTTAGTCAACTCGAGCTGTCCATAAATGGAGAGCAGGGAGCCAGTGATGGGAGGTCAAGGATCCCAGTCCGTCTCAGGCTCCCAGAATTCCTAGTAGTCCAACTGGGCTCCAGTTGGTCACCATCCCTTCCTTTCAGGTGACACTGGACTTTATGGACAGGACCAGAAAATGTTGGTGCTAAAACCTACTTTATAGGCATCTAATCTAGCTGCCTTTTCTGACAAACAATGCAACTTAGCCCTGTAGAAGTCAAACCATATGTTAGAGTGAACCCAGGATTTGGACTGAGGGCTTAACTCTGCATCAAGAAAAAAAAGAGGAAAAAAGGTAGATTCTACTTAAATGGTCTGTGAGTATCAGCTGAGCACTAAGGGATGTCTTTGGAGAAAGAAGAGATTGACTTTGTAAAACATATTATTTCTCTTAACTGGGTGACCCATTAATATATTTAATTTTCCATTCTGCTGATTTGAGGGTTTGCTCACATTTAAAGTACAATATGAAACTTTAAAAACATAGGTGAAAACAACTTGAAAAGTTAGAAGTGGATTGGAACGGTGTGTGAGGAGTTCAGCTTCCTTAGTATGTGTTTATATTACTAATCCTATAAATCTATAACACTCGGCCTTTTTGTTGTTTATCATGTGTGATGTATATTTACTAGGCAGCTATGATGTTAGGTGCATTTTAATTTTATTTATAAATATATTTTGTTTTGAATAAACATCCATGGGCTAATACTTCAGTCACTTGATGCGAAGAGCCAACTCATTGGAAAAGACCCTCAAGCTGGGAAAGATTGAGGGCAGGAAAAGAGGGTGACAGAGGATGAGATGGTTGGATGGCATCATTAATTCAATGGACATGAGTTTGAGTAAACTCTGGGAGATAGTGAGGGACAGGGAAGCCTGGCATGCTGCAGTCCCTGGGGTCACAAAGAGTTGGACACGGCTAAGTGACTGAACAACAAACCGTGAGCTTATAGTGCTTTTTGTGCCTTGCTAAGGGCAGTTTTAGACTTGGTTTCTTTTGAGTGTATGCCCTTGTGTCTCTGCCTGCTGAGTAAGACTGACTTGTCCCGTGTCTCTCCTCAGGGGCTTCTTCTGCCACTATGCTGATCTTCATCCTTCCAGCAGTTTTCTATCTTAAACTTGTCAAGAAAGAACCTCTTAGGTCACCCCAAAAGGTCGGGGTAAGTAAGGTTTACCATCTCTCCCTTTAAGTTTCCACTACTTAAAGTAAACCAGGAAATGCATGCACATGTTCCAAAAACTGAATTGATGCACAAGAACCGAAAATCAAAGATGGCTAGAGCTCTGGTGGAAAAAAAGGAAGTGTAGATTTCTAGCACTGAGATGATTCTGGGATTTCTTTTCTTCACATATGAAATAGCTTGTGCTAAGTCCTTCCTACCTGTCAAATGCTAATGGAGTTTGCCCACAGGCATACATTTATAACAGTTTCTACCACCAAGCTATTGTTGCACTATCCACAGGAAACAATGCAGGCAGGAATTAGGCTCCTTAGCAGCCTTATGAAAAAATATTAACATTTTGGTCACAGTCATTAGGTTTGTGAGGCCAAAAAATGTTGCTCTTGTTTTCCCCTCCTCAGTACCTTGTTATCCCCTGTGGACTAAGAACAGAACCATCTGTTGTTCAGTTAGTCTCTTTCCATATAATTTATAGTCCTATTAACCTGGGGAGTAAATATTTCTTTCCCATAATACTACTACAAAAATGTATACTAGAAATAGTTGTTCTTCAATATTAAATATTATCTATGACTGCTTAATAAAGTCTTATATTAAGGCTTGAAAAGTGCCTCTGACTGACTGAACCTGAATTTTGCCTGTGAGTCATTCTCCTCTCAGGATGGTTTGGGGACTTTAGGAAAGTTTGGTATCAAAAGCTCCTCCAATCGTCTTGCCCCCAGATTCCCACTCTATGTAGTCCATTCTGCTTCAACTTTTATAGCACTGTGACCGTGGTAAATCACTTTTTTCTGTTTGACTGGATGTAAAAGTGAGTAAAATATCCTAGATTCTTCTTGGTGAAAAAAGACTTCAGTGGCTGTTTCTTCCTACGTAGAATTAGGAAGTCAATCTATGTGGTAGTCTATAAGGCTGCTTTTAGTGTTAAAATTGTGAAATATTTATATGTTTATGTAATTATAGGTATATTACAGTATAGACATATACGTATATGTAATTACATATTAATACAGACACATATACTTTTCCAAGAAATATGTAACATACATTATATTGTGTGCATGCTTAGCCCCTTTAGTCGTGTCCGACTCTTTGTGACCCCATGGACTGTAGCCTGCCATGCTTCTGTGTCCTCTGGGCATTCTCCAGGCAAGAATACTGTGGTGGGTTGCCATGCCCTCCTCCAGAGGATCTTGACCCAGAGATCAGACCTGCATTTCATATTATGTCTCCCGAATTGGCAGGGGTTCTTTACCGCTGGTGCCACTAGGTTTTGTTTTTGTTTGCTTTAAAAAAAATTTTAATCACATCATGCATGCTATTCTTTTATAACCTGCCCCCTTTCACCTGAAAGATTGTGAGTACTCTGTAAGTCATTTAATCTTTTTCTGTTACTTGATTTGTAAGGATTATAGGGTATTCCATTATTTTATGTACCAAATCAATTAACCATTTTTCTATATTGAACATTTGGGTTAAATCTGTCTACTATCATATTCCTTTCCTCTTTCCCCAGGTAGGGCTCTAAATTGATTAACTGCTAGGCATGGGCAGCTGTAAGAATAATACAATTCAATATGCAAATCGAATGGCTGTCTTAAGTAAATGACTTATAAAAGCAAACTGTACTAAAGAAATATAATTTCTGTGTTCCCTAACAAGTTCTTTCTGACTTACAGGCTTTAGTTTTCCTCGTGGTTGGCATCATCTTCATGATGGGAAGCATGGCACTCATTATAATTGACTGGATTTACAATCCCCCAAATTCCAAGCATCATTAACCCAAGGAAAAATACTATCTTTTCCTGTTAGAGATGGTTACCAATTATGCTCCCAAAGACATTTTAGTTATCTTGTTTGGAATGTTAGTCCTAGGAAATAACAGGGAGATTCCAAAGATGTTTACCAGCAATATTACCAAGCACCTACAGAAGAGAAGATCATCATTTTTGTCACAAATGGCTGTTTATATGTTTAAAATCTGTGGTGCACACTTCCACCAGGTTTTACAGCAGTGTGTGATGATGTATTTTTGCTTCTGCGTGTGCAAAATAAGGGTAGCTGCATGTAACGATCACCAAATAATACCCTTTTCCCTCTCCCCACAAAAGTACCAAATTTCTGTATTCTCAGAATATCAAGCAAAAATGCCCTGATGGCAAAGCTAATGCCACTTAATGCCTTCCCTCAATCTTGCACCAAATACTCCGGGTCTATTTAATGACAGAGGCAAAAGACATGTATTATGAACTGTCTCTGCAAGTTACATGAGTGATCAGACACCAGGCTGGAGCATCTTATATGCTCAACACTAAAGGAAAATTTTGCCCGTCCTACTTGTGACATTGAATTAGTGACTTCTTCATTCAACTGTTCTTCTGTAAATATTAAAACATCTAATGAAACACAGAGAGGGGCTTTATTGAAATTATAGAGCACCAGCAAAACAATGCTTATGGCTATATGGAATGTTCTGGAAGCATTTGTTTATTAATATTATTCCCAGGCCTCTTGTCATACTTTTGTCACTGAACAATGCCCTCCCTCTCGTCTTCCATTTTCGTTCAGAATTTTTAGAATACCACTATTCATGTGGAGCTACACTACCCAGTATTGTTTAATACATTTTTATTTGATAAACATTCAGTGCAGGAAACTGTGATTGCTTTATGTTTATGTATATAATCTTTTTCTGTAGTTATCAGAATTTTAATGTATGGTACATTTGATTTTTATTTTTTACATGTGTAGTTTTCTCTCTTCACAGTCAAACATTTATGTTATTGGGGGTGGGGGTAGGGAATTGAGTTGATAGGCTCAAAAATCCACATGTATGTATCTGTCTATTGGGCATATTTTAAATTTGAAACCTGAGTGATATATTGAATAGTTTGATAATGCTCTTCTTCAGTGTTTACAATATTACCATAATCATCTACAAGAAAATAAGTTCCCTATTTGCAAATAATTATCAATACTAAGGTAGTTCTTTTAATTTAGAAGGTCTAAAATAGGATTTAGTTCATTTTAGCTTGAACAGGTGTTTGCTAACATAGATTTGCTGTTTAATACAGTGTTGAGCTATTCTCTATGAAAATAAAAGTGCTAACACTACAAAGAAATGCAAATTATTATTCTTGCTCACTTTTACAACATAGTTACATGAAATGGATTTAAAAATTAGTACTCACTGCCTAGAATTTCTAGAGTTTGCTCCTTTTTTCCTCAATCAGTAGCAAGCACATTTGTTGTATATTTTAGTATAGCCTAGTATGAAATACAGATGTTATGTAAGTATGATAATATTAAATCTATTTCAATAGTTTTTGCTGGAATGTGCCTTACATAAATATATATTTGTTTTATGTATTATTCTCTAGAGGCATAATATTGTAAAATGGTGCACTTTGTTAGGGAAATTGAGCATTACTAGAAACTATCATGACTTCTGACTATTATTTACCAAATAGCATTTTTAAGATATATTTCTATTTTCAATTCATCTAAAGAGAGTATCAAAATAGAAAATGGGGAAAAGGTGCCTTCTGAGTGTTAAAAATGTTTGATCTGAATGTATTTAAATGTAAATACAATGGATTGATCCAAAAAACTGAAAAGCTGTAAAATCTGTATATATTTTGAATGCTTTACATTTGAAATGACTCACATGAAAGTATCAACATGCAAATTTATATAAATATTCAAGAGCAATACTACAGTGCCAAATAATAAAGTGTCATTTATTCTCATGGTCATTTTCAGAATTAGAGTTCACATAGACTGCAGGACAGGCATACATATGGTATATTGTACTGGTTAATTTAGCCCCATTTATAAACAGATGAAAATTTTATTTTCTTATTTCATTTATAAGATGGTTCAATATATAGGGAGGCTTTTTTTATTATAGAAAGTGTATATTGGTATATAATAAATGAACTTTTCAAATGACTATGATGTAATTTTCTTTCTGTTGAAGGCATGAAAAATATTATTTATAAATGAAAACATTTTAAATCTTAATATTGTCTCTTTTATATTGGTATATGTTCCATTTTTATTGTTACTCTGACATAAAACTGGTATTTATAGCTTTTAAAAATAGTTGCCATCTTATTCTGGCAAAATACACAACTAATTTGAAATCATGCTTGTTTTGTATCATCCTAGAATGAATGTGGATGAAATGACTCTCTTAATGGTGAATTAATGAAGAATTCATCTGGGATGGAAAAAGAGGGAATAGAAGAAAGATGAAAATAGCTAAAGAAAGATTAAAAGGTGCCTTCTGAGTGTTAAAAATGTTTGATCTGAATGTATTTAAATGTAAATACAATGGATTGATCCAAAAAACTGAAAAGCTGTAAAATCTGTATATATTTTGAATGCTTTACATTTGAAATGACTCACTTGAAAGTATCAACATGCAAATTTATATAAATATTCAAGAGCAATACTACAGTGCCAAATAATAAAGTGTCATTTATTCTCGTGGTCATTTTCAGAATTAGAGTTCACACAGACTGCAGGACAGGCATACATATGGTATATTGTACTGGTTAATTTAGCCCCATTTATAAACAGATGAAAATTTTATTTTCTTATTTCATTTATAAGATGGTTCAATATATAGGGAGGCTTTTTTTATTATAGAAAGTGTATATTGGTATATAATAAATGAACTTTTCAAATGACTATGATGTAATTTTCTTTCTGTTGAAGGCATGAAAAATATTATTTATAAATGAAAACATTTTAAATCTTAATATTGTCTCTTTTATATTGGTATATGTTCCATTTTTATTGTTACTCTGACATAAAACTGGTATTTATAGCTTTTAAAAATAGTTGCCATCTTATTCTGGCAAAATACACAACTAATTTGAAATCATGCTTGTTTTGTATCATCCTAGAATGAATGTGGATGAAATGACTCTCTTAATGGTGAATTAATGAAGAATTCATCTGGGATGGAAAAAGAGGGAATAGAAGAAAGATGAAAATAGCTAAAGAAAGATATGAAATATTTGGGAGAAGGGAAAGCAACATAGGAGTGCTGAGGACTGGGTAGAAATGAACTTGTAGTGGGACTGACAGGTCATATATTAAATGTATGCTTGACTTTCTAAGCAACTTCCAAGTCATTCTCCAAAGTGGTTCTACCATTTTCATTTTCACCAGTAATATACACAAGTTCTAGTTGCTCCACATCCCTGTCAACAGTTGACATTGTCTTTTGTACTTTGCTGCCCTTCAAGTAGGTGTGGAAAGTTATCTCACCGTGATTTTCATTTTCATTTCCCTGAACTAGTGTGGGAAACTTTTCATGCATATAATGACCATTCATGTTTTCTTTTGTAAAGTGTCTGTTCAAATCCCTTGCTCATGTTTAAAATTAGGTTGTCTTTTTATTGTTTTTTTGTCAGAATTCTTTATATATTCTAGATACATGTGCTTTGTCAGATTGCAAATGTATTTTCCCAGTCTATGGCATGCTTACTCATTTTCCTAAATATGTTTTGCAATTCCTGTCTTAATGAGGATGAGATTAATTGGAATGGTCAATTAATTGTCATAATTGTTTAGATTTTCAAATGTGGAGAGTATGAGAATTCTTTCTCTTTTTTGTTATTGTGTCTTTTTGTTTTGTAGTTAGCTTCATTTAATGTATGCTAATCTAGTTCTTGTTTTATACAGATCTTTGATTAAAAATAACTTTTTCTAAGTCACTTTAAATCTTAGCTTGGAGACCTAGTACTGCCTATATAAGCCCAGGACATCAAAAATCCTTTTCAGCTACTTGTAGTCAGCTTTATTAGATCCCTCAGCCCTTGCTATAGACACATATAGAGGAAACAAGAGAAATTAGTTTATTTGATTCTCATTTACTAGCTTGGAAGTCCTGTCATTTTCTCTTGACTCTGTGTTTTCCTTCATGTACAGAAGTGGTTTGCATAGTTTTTGCTTCTGTAGCATGTATCTTCATGACTGTCTTTTCTCAATAAAAAAATTTGCACAAATTATTAGTTTAATAAAATCAGTTTAGAGCTTTTCTTCACACCAAACACCAAAATGAAAAAAAAATCATTATGAAAGTCAAAACATAATGAGGAGATATTTAAAGGGAAAACTGTTTGATAGCTGCATATGAAAGTAAGTATTAGTCACTCAGTTGTGACCAACTCTTTGTGACACAACTGTGGACTGTAGCCCACCAGGCTCCTCTGTCCTTGGAATTCTTTAGGCAAGGCAAGTAAGAATAATAGAGTGAATAGCCATGGCTTTCTCTAGATCTTTCGGACCCAGGGATCGAACCCTGGTCTCCTGCACCGTAGGTGGATTCTTTACCATCTGAGCCCTCGGGGAAAGGAAAACACACTGGAAAGTAAAGCACAATGGCAAAAAGCACAAAGGCAGTCAATGATGATTAGACATACCTATGTAGCAGGAAATATAATTCTGTCCATTAAAGAATAAAAAATTAAAGATAGTAGCTGCTACAAAATGCAGACCAATATATCCTCAATGTTTGAAGAGATAATACAGATCTATCAAGAATCTAATAGAAGAATGGACAACAGACATGAAATCACATACAGAAATGAATGGTGAATGCGTATTTACAAATAATTAGATCTCACTATGAATCAACTACAGGCAAGTTAAAATATAACTAAAAAAATGGCTTTGTCAGAGTACTGAAATAAAGACAATGTTCTGTTTTAATGACTATAAGGAGTTAATCACTCATTCTGGTGACAGAAATCTTTCTTTTGCTAGCCTTATGTGGAATTCATTCTGGCCATGCTTATACAGATCCTCATAAATGCTTGTAGTAGTCTCCCCAGAGATGTTCACACTCTAATCCCTGGCACACGAAAATATGTCAGGAAATTGAATTTAGCAGATAGAATTGAAGTACAGATCTTAAAATAGGAAGATTATGCTGAATAATCTAATCACATAAGCCCTTAAAATCAGAGAACTTTCTTCAGCTAAAGTCAAAAATATTTAAAGCAGAAGAAGGGCTCAACTTGCTATTGCTGAGTTGAAAATGGAGGAGACCACGTGGAGACTGTGTGAAGGAAAGGAATTCTTCCAACAGCTCAAATAAGACAATAAGGTGATTCTTCTCCTTAGCTTCCAAGTGGGAGCCTAGGGCACCAGCACCTTGATTTGAGCCTGGAGAGCCCAAGCAGAATACTCTGTTGAGCCAGCCAGACTTGTGACCGAAAGATCTGCGAGATAATAAATGAGTGCCTTTTTAAGCTGCTAAATTTGTGATAGTTGGCTATGACAGCAATATGAAACTATGAAATACAGTATTCATATCTGTTGATTAACTAATTTCTGTTCTCAGGAACTAATCAGAAAAATGAATTGACTATTACATACTCTGTCTTATTTCAGCATATAATATCTTACAGTTCTGAAATATTCCAAATGTACAAAATTGTGGAATCATTTAATAAATTCTAGTATCTTCATAGGCTGGACTATGATGCAGTCATCAGAAGTATTTTAATCAAAAATATTTTCATTAATAAAATGAAAAACTATGGTATAATATTAAGTAAAAAAAGAATAAAAGTTTTCTTATCCCCATTTTATATATTAAAAAAGCATGAAATAGAAAAAAAAATCTCAAATAAGACAATAAGGTGATTCTTCTCCTTAGCTTCCAAGTGGGAGCCTAGGGCACCAGCACCTTGATTTGAGCCTGGAGAGCCCAAGCAGAATACTCTGTTGAGCCAGCCAGACTTGTGACCGAAAGATCTGCGAGATAATAAATGAGTGCCTTTTTAAGCTGCTAAATTTGTGATAGTTGGCTATGACAGCAATATGAAACTATGAAATACAGTATTCATGTCTGTTGATTAACTAATTTCTGTTCTCAGGAACTAATCAGAAAAATGAATTGACTATTACATACTCTGTCTTATTTCAGCATATAATATCTTACAGTTCTGAAATATTCCAAATGTACAAAATTGTGGAATCATTTAATAAATTCTAGTATCTTCATAGGCTGGACTATGATGCAGTCATCAGAAGTATTTTAATCAAAAATATTTTCATTAATAAAATGAAAAACTATGGTATAATATTAAGTAAAAAAAGAATAAAAGTTTTCTTATCCCCATTTTATATATTAAAAAAGCATGAAATAGAAAAAAAAATGAAAGCAACCTAATGTTAAAAGTAGATATTTGTAAGTAGAAAAATGATTAGCAATGTTGGTTTTTATCTTCATATGTTTGTTATTTTCTAAATTATCTATGAAGATTATATATTCCTTTTCTCATTAGGAAAAAACTTTTCAGAAATAGAAAAGGCTTTCTGCCAAGTTCTATTCTGGAAAAGAATTAAACCCTGCTGCCAATTTCTATACATTTTTATATTTTCAGCTGAGTCTAAAGACATAATTAAATGAATGTGTAATTCACAATTAGGGAATAGTCATTAATGACTGAAGCAGACTCTCAAAGGATGGTGCAGACCCTGATCAGAGGTGGGACTGGGATGAGATAAGGATGACTTGAAGAAAACAGTGTCGCATAGCCAGGAGACCAAGTTTTGAGTCCTATATCCATGTTCTGGGCAAGTCATTTAATTTTATTGAGCTTTTGTTTCCTCATATTTGTTGGAATAATTTCTGTATAATGTAATTCCCATGATCATTTAGCTTGTAATCACTAGAAATGTCAGAAGATTCTGTCTTATAACATAATCATATCTTTAATGCAAAGTTTTGGCTGTAGTCACAAATGAGGGCTGGAAGAACTCTCTCCAATGGGAAAGTTACAAAGCATACATTGCAACAATGATTTCACCAGTTTGTCCTGGAAGTGAGCAGATACATCAAATGTTTCTCAGGAAAACTCTGCCTTGCTGCTCAGGTTGAGTAATTTAATGGATAAACATTTACTCAGTGAAGAACATGCCAGATTCCACACTAGGTACAAGAATACAGAATAGTCCTCAACTTCAAGGATTTTTAAGGACTCTAGAGGAGGGAAAACATGTATACAGATAGTTACAATACAAAGTGGAAAATGCTTTAGTTTATACCCAGGATTCCCTGGAACCACTAAAGGAAATGCTCAAGTCAGCCTTGGGAAAGACGCGTAGTCATGGATTTCTGGCAACAGATACCACATAAGTTGAATCCTAAAGAACAGTTTGGAGTTATCAGGTAAAGCGATGGAGTAGAAGAGCAAGTATTATGCATAAGAACATGATTCCTCTCACTGACCTCCCCATTCCCCACATAAGCATGTATGCACATGCCTTCCACAAACCATGTATTAGATTCCTTTTACTGCTATAACAAATTGCCACACACTTAGTGACTTTAAAAATATCTTTTATTATCTTACCATAGCAACAGCAGGAATCAGTAGAAGCCCCAGCAGAATCATACAAATCAAGCAGAGCAAATAAAATAACAAAGATTCTTAAAATTAAACTGTGCCCAGCCCAGGTTGGATGCATGAGACAAGTGCTCGGGCCTGGTGCACTGGGAAGACCCAGAGGGATCGGGTGGAGAGGGAGGTGGGAGGGGG